TTCCATGTATTTGTCCGGCTGATATCATGAGAGCAGAGGATTATATGATCACTTATCTAAAATGGCGCTTCATAGTTCACAAGAGTTTTCGAGAGCTACGATTGCCGGTTCGTTCCTGAAGTAATATAGGCAAATACAGTTATTAGACTTATCCAAGTGGGAGTCTGTTGGATAAGATGTCTAAGTCCATAACTTATTTGGTATATACTTGACCCGACCCGGCATGGTCCATTTGGGTTGCACTTCACCCAAACTAGTTATGGATAATTTTATGAGAGTTGTATACTTACGATTTATTCATATATTATAAGTTATAATATATTAATATAAAGTCATGTTACTTAATTAGTTTTAATCTTGAATTAATTATGAATTAATTTAGTGATTAAAAGGAAGACTAATTAAATCATGGGCTACTATATTTATATGGTGTGGGCTAACACTCATTTGGGAATGGGCTAAGCTTATATGGAAGTCCATGGATGATCCATGGAGCTTTTACCCATGGATCCTTGGAAGAGGAAAAGACATGGGTTATTAGGGTTTCACCCTAACCATGTACACTATATAAACAAGCTTATGTTGCATGAAAAACTCTCTAATGTGTGTGTAAGTGTGGTGGCCAAAATCAAGAGTTAGTATACTCTCTCATACATTTTCCAAGTTTGTGGTGATTTGTGATTTCCATTTGAGGCATTCACATTATTGGTGCTTGGCTCTCAAACTCCAAGGAATCAACAATTAACAAAAGGTATGCAATTCATCTAGTTCTTTTATGGTTAAAAGTACCCCATGCCATGCTAGATAGGTTATAAACCTTGGAAAATAATATTTTGCATGTATCTTAGACAAACATAGATCCAAGGTTTAATAGGGTTGCATGTACACTTAGGAAGTGTTAGAATGCTCAAAACCCAACAATTCTTAGTGTTGGGCTCATTTGGTGGATTGCAAGCCACCAAGTGACCAACTTTAAGGACTAGGACGAAGCAGGAGACTCAGATCTGTAAGTTGGACGTTCTGTCTTAGGGGATTAAGTCGTTTTGGAAAAGATCGCTTAATAGGAGAGTACGTTGGGTGTACACGCCAGTACGCGCAGCGTACAAGCCATTCAAGCAGTACGTGCAGCGTACAGATGGGTACGCTCAGTCAGTGGGCTTTAAGCTATTGGGCCTCGGTTTGGGCCTAACTTTGGACATAGCAATAGTTGGGCCGTGATGGGCCTTCAGAAGCCAGTTAAGGGCCCAAGAATTGGTTTGGGCTTGGAAGGAAATCCCATTTGAAGAGTTGGGCCCAATTTAGAAAATTGGGCCATTTGGGGACTTAATGGGCCCTAGTGAGGATTAGAAGGAGTAGGCCTAATTCATGGCCCAAATTAGATCAAAGGGGTAAAATAGTCATTTTACCCATAGAAGAGCCATCAGTTTTTGACTAAATGTTTATTTGGTCATTATAGCCGGGGAGTAGTTGGAGCAGTCGACGATGTCACCTTTGCACGAGTTATTCAGCAGTCAGTTGAGAGGTGAGTTTCCTTCCAGTAGGAACGGGTCTACGGCCACAATGCCGACCCGCTTAGATGATAGTAGTTCCGGACTTCGGTCTGATGTCGGGGTGGTCCCGAGAAGTAGTTATGTATGCTTGATGTCTTTGTGATTCATGCATGTTTGTGTTATGTGTTATATGTTCCGGACTTCGGTCCGATGTCGGGCAAGCCTGATGCAGTATATGTGATTATGTTATATGTTTATGCTTATGTTATGTTCGGTTTCTTCCGAACTTCGGTCCGATGCCGGGCGGGGCCCGATGCAGTGGGTGGGGCCCAAGTTATTCCGAACTTCGGTCTGATGCCGGGCGGGGCCCGATGCAGTGGGCGGGGCCCAATTTATGCTGAACTTCGGTCCGATGCCAGGCGGGGCCCGATGCAGTGGGCAAGGCCCAGTATGTGCTTTATGTGTTATATGTGTTATTGTATGGTATGTGGTAGTTTGGGGGAGCTCACTAAGCTTCGTGCTTACAGTTTTCAGTTTTGGTTTCAGGTACTTCCGCTAGTAAAGGGAAGGGCTCCGGATGATCGCATAGCACACACCACAGTCACATCCTGGGAGTTTACTCTGATGTTTTGTTATGAGATTTTGATTTGAGACAGATTCTATGATGTTTTATGATACATGATTTATGATTTTACTTATGACTTCGGATGGTTTATGATTTTAATAATGATTTGAAAACGAAATTTTTGGGTCATATTTTTGGGATGTTTCAACGTTGATGCGTGCATAAGGTCTCTGACCATTTCTTTTCCTAGTTGTAGTTTTTTTCTAGTTTATTTAAATAGTTGTAATTTCCTTTTAGACATATGAATGGAAAATTAGAGAAAATTGCTTCACTGTATTGCGTCTTCTTCTTCCTTCTTCACGAGAGTTTAACCTACTCTAACAGGTCTCTATCAGAGAGAATGCAAAAAAAAAAAAAAACAAAAACAAAACAAAAAAAAACAAGAAAATTGATGTTATCATCTATTTAAAATTGATTACTAAAATTTTACAAATGTTGTTGTGCCCCTACCCATGTAGCTCCGCTTTCCAAATCTAGATAAAAGATAAAATATAAAAGATGTAGATTTTTCATGGAGATGATGGATTTACATGAAGAGAAATGAAAGGAGAATGTTGAAGGGATAAGAAAGAAAAGCAACAACTCTACTATGTGGTGAAGATTAATGAGTAAATGGTCGAACATACCTTTCTGAATTTGAATGGATACATAAAGTTAGTGTCTCACATGAAGGAAAATTTCAAAGAAATTGCCTAGTGGATAGAAAAAAATGAGAAATGAGAAAGTATAGATGTGTCCTCAACAAACTTACAAAATGGTTTCAAAGTCATGATGGAAACAATACTTGCACAACAAGAATATAATATATTTGAAAATTTTGACAATACATAGACACAATATAAAGAATAGGGTATGCGAGCTTAAAATAAGGAATAAGAGCGAAACGTCTACTTATATTCTTTTGACTTGAGCTAGCGTAAGGGTACTCTACCCTTTTCACCACATTTAAAACATATGAATTCTTATATCGGATCATCTCCTTGTTACTTGTCTTTTTATCGTCACTTTTGAATCTTCCTTTGTTTCGATTAATGGTATTGCTTGTGTTTCCATTATTCTTTTTTTTCTCATTTGTCTCTCAAACTAAAGGTCTTCTCCGTTTTCTTGGTGTCATACAAATAGAAATAGCCTCATATAAATGTGGTTGCAGTATTAACTTGCACTTGATAATCCCAAGGTAAACCTTCTATGAATTGACTTATCTTAGAAGACTCGTCTAGCATACGCCGAGTAACAAAACATATGTACTCTAAGAATTGAGTAGAATATTGTTCAATCGCCACATCCTTCTTTTTCAAGGAAAGAAATTTGCTCTCTAGTTCCTTTACGCCATCCTTCGTACGTACGCCTCCTTAAGTTTGGCTTTAAACACCTCCTTAAGTTAGGATAAAAACGGCTCCTAAGAAAACTTTTTCAATGTAATTGGATATAAGTTTCATGAGTTCGATAGTTTGTTCTTTAAACTAAAAATCCTAAATTAACTCAAATTTAGCTTTTTAACACTTTAAAAGTTTTAGTTATGTATTATTAAATATTATTTTCTTTATGTTCTTTATCTTAATTATTAGAAAAATGATTTTCCAAGAATTAGGATGGTATAATTACCTTTCTTTTATGATAATTCTATCATCGAAATTGTAGATTCTTTGAGGAGATGTGAATAACATGCTTTCATCTCTGTCTCTACTTCCACAGTAAGATGTGATACAGACGAATGTTTCCGCTTGACAAGTACCAAGTCTATTATTTCTTTCTACAACTTTTGCGTTTTCCTATCTATAATTTCTTTGGGCTCTTCAAACAATCTTCTATCCTTTTCTATTTTGATCTCTTTGAGTGACATTACATCCACTTTTTCACTCAATTATTTACTCAAGTAGCACACGTGGATTCAACTTCCCACGTAAGATGTGAGCTCGATGAATGTTTCCTCTATATAGAGATAACTTGAGTAACACTTGATCACCTAATTCAAATACATTGGGTCTATTTCATAAATTTTCATAACTCACTTGTCGGTCTTTATCCATCATCATTCATTCTCATATGATCTTATATTTATCCGTCGTCTATTGTACCAAATCTAGTGCCGCAAAAAAAATTATCTCCCGCCTTTAATCAACATGTTGGAGTTATATATTTCCTCTCATACAAGAATTAATATGGAGCCATCTGTATCACTTAAGAGTTGCACCAAGGCACATTTTGACATGAGATGTACACGTAGAAAATCGTGTTGTGTTTATGTTGGTAGGTAGCAGGTTGGTGGATCGGTGGGGGCGGGTGAGAAAGCTCAACCCAGACTCGACACATATAAATATTCATGTCATCTTGCTCAACCCTAACGTGGAGAAGCAAAACCTAGACAGGAACTGCGTAACCTATTTAATTATACGAGTTTGTGGGTCATAATCGGGATCGTGTGTCATGGGAAAGAAGTCTAAAATATCACATATTCACTTATTAGTCATTGTTTTCTCCTTTATTTAATATATATATATATATATATATATATATATATATATATATATATATATATATATATATATATATATATATATATATATATAATCTAATAAAATAAACAGGTTCACAGGTCAACCTAAAAAATTATAGGGCTTTTGACTTAAAAGTCTCTAAGTTTTCAAAATTTGTTCGGTTTAGTACCCGCGACGAATTTTGGTGCGTTAATGCCCAACATTTGGGCTCTTTTTGTAAAAAAACGCCATTTAACAGGTTTGGAGCCGGTCATCCGGTGACATCCAACCTGTTAAAGAAATACCCTTATAAAAAAGGGAATCCCAACGACTTTCGTCCCCCCTCTCTCATTTACGTAGCCCTTCTCCCTCATTTACGTAGCTCAATCAGAGCATCTTCACGCACCAATGGCTACATCGTCTTCAAACTCAGCAACTTCACGCATAACGAAACTTGTTAAATGCTATTGTGGTGATGTGTGCTACGTAGCAGTGTCAAGAACATCAGATAACCCTGGTAGAAAATTTTGGGGATGCCCTAATTTCAAGGTATTTCGTAATTTTTGTGTTAAATTGAAATGATTACTATTAGCAGGGTTTTAGGGTTTTGATTACACGTTTTTCTCCCTTTTAATTTCTAGGAGTCTTCAAGGTGTCGTTTTTTCAAGTGGGTGGATGAATGTGGGAACAAATCTATCCAGCAAGAAGATGAATTGATGGGTTTGATGAAGATTGTTGCTGAATTGATGGGTTTGATGAAGATTGTTGCAGGGTTGTTAATGTTTAATGCAATAATGCTTGTAATTGTTGTCCTAAAAATGTAATTTTGGTATTGTACTTTTGCAATGTGGTTGGTAATGTAATGCAGTTGTGTTTTGAACTGGAATGACTGTAATTCAGGCAATGATAATGTAATGGTAATCCTTTTGTAGTCTTTCTAATTTGGTATGTGCAAAGCTGTAAATGGTAACCCAATTTAGGCATTGAATAATATACATTGAATAATATCAATAGAGGGTAGTTTAGGCATTGAATAATGTCATGACATAGGGCAATTCAGATGATATAATTGATACAAAATTAAGATGTTTTAATCCATACCAAAGTATGATGCTATAAAGCATAAAAAACCAAATGTCAGATGTTATAATCCACACCTAAGATGCAATTAACCAAACCTATTGTAAGATACTATAATCGAATAATAGTACCATAAACCATATTTCATAGAAAAGGGGTGTGCATTACATAATGTTTCATATAATGTTTCATGTAGCAATCATCCAATTGTGCCAAAAAGCCTATCAAACAAGCCTATCAAGGCAACATATAAGGAAACACATATGACAATTGGATGCTTGCTGTAAAAACCAGGAATAACAAAAGATATACAAAAAGAAGGCATCATATGCCAGTGATTAACATCCCACTTCACCCCTTTTCATAATCACTACCCAACTAATCCAACTTGAAAGGTTTGGTAGTACTGGAACCACTACCATATTTGTCATACATAGTCTTCTTCAACTTTAGCTTCAATATCCTCTCAGAAGGTTTCCTTTTCCTATGCACAGGTTTGGTAGACAGGTTTGGCAAGTTATTGACTATATCATCCACACCCTCAACAGCAGATTCAATCCCTGCTTCCACTTGTACCTCATCCACTCCCTCATCATCAGCAAACACCTCAACATCATCAACTTGTACATCATCCACTACCTCATCCACTTGTACATCATTAACTACCTCAACATCATCAACTTGTACATCATCCACTACCTCATCCACTTGTACATCATCAACTTCATCATCAGCAAACACCTCAACATCATCTGGATGCCCTTCTTGATCTTGTAATTCCTGTTAAGGCAATATATGACATGTAATTACAATATGGGACAAATAGAATAAAATTGAATTTAAGTAGAATAAATAGGAGATTAATTACCAGTTCAACAGGTGCCATGTCATCTAATGGCATTGCTATCCCTTTACTCCCTTCAATTTCACCAATGCTATATCCTGACTCTAGTAGCATGGCTACATCTTCTTCATTCAGTTGGATTTTCTCAGGTATAACATCATCTGCATTACCTTCAAGAAACTCAGGTTCTTCCTCTTGAATGTCTCTAAGAATTTCATTTATACCATCCTCAACATCATCAAGAATTTCACTCAACTTTCGTCACTTAGATTTTCCCTCGCCAAAATCATCTATAACTTGACTGACCATACCCTCATCAACCTCTTGTTGTCCATTTTGCTGGTTTTGCCCTTCATCCTGGTTTTTCCCTTCACCAACAAGTTTTTGTCCCTCAATCTGAACTTGTCCCTCATCCACATGTTTTTTCCCTTTACCTCCAGCTCTACCTCCACCCCTTCTATTATTTATTTTTCTCCTTTGAGCAGTTGGTTGATTTGGCTCATTACTGGTTTCTGTACTCCTCCTTCTAGTCTTTCTCCTAGAACCAGATGCTTGATTGGGATCCACATTTTGATTGATTGGAGTTTTAGTTGTTGCACTTTCATGTTCCTCTTGATTTTTTCTTGGACTACCAATTTTTTTGGGTGCATGTGGAACTCTTGGCTTTGTTTCACTTGTGCAGCTTTGTTTGTGTAGCACCTGGTTCTTGGTATGTATTTTTATTTAAGTATTTTTGCATTTTTGGCCTTGGACTCGGCGAGTTGAAGGACCAACTCGCCGAGTAAAAGCGGGATGAGGCGCGGGATTTAAGTGATGGACTCGTCGAGTCGGGTCCCAGACTCGACGAGTAGACTCTGAATGGACAAAAACCCTAATCCGAGGGTTTGCACCATATTTAAACAATGTTATGTCGGCCACAACGTCCCTTATGCTCCCAGAACACCTCTCATTGAAACCCTAGCCGTTATTGAAGCAATCTAAGCCTTGTTGGTGGATTTTGGTGCTTGTGGTCTTAAGAAGGAAGGAGAAAGGATTGAGGAAGCAAGTGAAGACCAAGGGAACCCGAGTTTGTACACCTTCTACAGTTCATTGAAGGTAAAAAGTTGTAACCTTGCTCTTTCATTTGTTAGATCCCTTTTTGGGGAGATTTAGGGCTTTTATAAGCCACTTTTGATGGCCAACCATGATTGCAAACATGGTTGGGGGTTAGAGCTTCGGAATCACGTCATTAAAGGAGTCACAAGGCAGTTGGGGACTGCTTTTTCACCCATGAAAGGCCCCATGCATCTTAAGAGCTTGTTTTATGTCTTTTTGAGCTCAAAGTCCCATGCAAGCACGTAAAGTTTGTAACTTTACGTGCTAGATTGATTATAGAAGCTTGGATCTATCTTTTGATCAAAGGTTGTACATCAGAATTCAAGGATTTAGAGTGTGGACATGACTGACTCGGCGAGTCCGTTCTTGGACTCGACGAGTCCGAGGCTTTGAGCCTCATATCTGTTGAGAGTCAAAGGAACCCAGTTGAGTGTTAGGAGGGTTGTAATCGGACAGGAAGAGTTACCCAATGTATTGGACGTGATTTTAGACCTGGAGTTCATGGGACTCGACGAGTGCTAGAACAAACTCGGCGAGTCCAAGGCAATCTTCTTAAGGATGAAGATGAACTCGACGAGTTGTTCATCAACTCGGCGAGTCGAGGACAGAACTTGTTCATCAGATGAAGGTGAACTCGACGATTTGTTCATCAACTCGGCGAGTCGGATGAGTTTCATGCGATGTTCATGTGAGGGAGGAACTCGTCGAGTTGACGGCCCAACTCGACGAGTCGGGTCGTGGATAAGGACGATTAAAGGGTGAGGGACTCGGCGAGTTGACGGCCCAACTCGGCGAGTCGGGTCAACTTGAAGTTGACTTTGACTAGACTTGGACTGACCCTGTTTAGGGTTGTACTGGCTGTGTGTTGACTTGAAGGTCGTCGTGTAGGGATCGAGGAGTCGAGGGGAGTCGACTTGTGCGCTGAGGATAATTCAAACACTGCACGACATCGAGGTGAGTTACTTTCCAGTAGGGGTGGGTCTAAGGCCACAATGCCGGCCCACCAAAGAGGAGTATTTGTAAGATGATTGTCTTTGTGATAATTATCTTGGTTTGGTTATGTGCTTTGGTCACGAGTATTATCTGCATGATATGTTACGTGTATAGTAGGGATTAGAATCCCTGACAGCGGCCCTTCGGGCCGTGGGGTAGGTCAGTACCCGGATATGACTGACTGTATGATTGTACCTTGTTGTTGTATGCTAGTGGTAGGGGTGGAATAGTCCCCAGTTACCGGTTGAAAGATACCGATGATAGTTACCGGTTGAAAGATACCGATGACAGTTACCGGTTGAAAGATACCGATGATGGTTACCGGTTGAAAGATACCGATGACGATTACCGGTTGAAAGATACCGATGTTGGTTACCGGTTGAAAGATACCGATGATGATTACCGGTTGAGAGATACCGATGATATTGTATGGTATGTGGTATGATGGGGGAACTCACTAAGCTTTGTGCTTACGGTTTCGGTTTTGGTTTCAGGTACCTCTTCGTCTAAGGGGAAGGAGCTGGCGGCGTAGCATCGCATCACACACACACATATGGTTTCCGCATGGAGTTTTCTGGGATTGTACTCTGATATGTTATTATTCTATGGCTTGGGTTTTCAGACATGATACATTGTTTTATGAGATGATGTGTTTTCGCAGTATTTTCTTATGAATGTTTTTATGTGTTGGTTAATTAAAAAGAAAATTTTGGACCTGAAAATTGGGATGTTACAGTTTGTTATGTCCAAATTCAAAGCAATTACCACACCTCACAGTTCTGGATACTTTAACTCTTGCAGTAGCAAACTTGGTCTCTTTTTCACTTGAATGCCTTCTCCTTTTGGTGGCAGGTCTTCCTGGCATTCTTCTAGCTATTGGTGGCAAAGGCTTTTGGAAGGGAGTTTGCTCCCATAAATTGCTCCCATTAACAGGCATTATGTTACTTTGGTAACATTCAATAAACCTATTTTTTGAGAAGCATTCATTAATATATCCATCAGCTGTCTTATGGATATAGTTAATGGCAGCATTTGCATGAACAAAAGGGATTCCAGAAAGATTCCAAAGCCTGCATGTGCAAGTCCTGGCCTCCAAGTATACCTTGAAACTTTCATAATTGAACCTAGATTCAAACACTAAACCTTGGCTATGAATAACCATTTAAAACCTGAAATTGGCACATAAATTTAAAAACATTAACATAAGAGCATTGATTTATAAAATACAAATGCAATTGGCTAAATAATACATACCTCATATACTTCCCAAAAAGGTTCATTTTTTTCAACACATTTGGGCACACATTGGACTTCCATTTGTTACACTTATCAATCATGTGAGCAAACCTATCCATTATGTAGATTCTTATCTCCTCAAGCATTGTTATCAAAGGCTTTTTCCTAGCTTCTATTATGATGGAGTTAAAGCATTATGAGATTCCATTCTCAACTGCTTCACATGCCAACCCTGGAGTAAAGAAAGCTATGCACCAAGTTCTAGGCTGTTTGGACATCAAATACTCATATGCACCAGGACTAAGCTTCTTTATTTCACCCATATGTTTCTTGAAGTCTCCTACTCATTGTTGAAGCCCAGAAAATTCTTTTGAATTCTAATCCGGTGTAAGCCTTCTTGAAGTTTGCATAAATGTGTTTAGCACATTGTCTGTGCTCCACATGTGGCAAAATGTCTTTCACAGCTTCCAGTAATCCCTGAAACATATAAGTACTTTGAATATTAATACAAAACATTTCAATTATATACTATATCTATACAAAACATAGCAACTAAAAGTACCTTATGTTGATCTGATATAATAACCAACCCTCTACCACCATCCAACATTAGATCATCATGTATAAGCTCCAAAAACCCAGTCCAATTAGGTTTATTCTCCACATCTACAACAACCCAAGCTAGTGGATAGACTTGGTTGTTTGCATCCCTTCCAATTGCTGTCAACAGTTCACCTTTCACCTCACCTTTCAAGAAGCATCCATCTAAACCAATCATTTTTCTACATCCACTTTTCCATCCACTACATAAAGCCTTAAAACATATATAAAATCCGTGGAAATAGCTCTTTCCATCAGGGTTGTTGATGACACTAACCTTGCAAGTAGACCCTTGGTTTGATCTTAAAAGCTCATAGGAGTAGTCCCATATTCTTGCATAATGCTCAGTTAACTTTCCTTCAATTAACTCTTTTGCCCATTTTTTTGCCCTCCTACATTGGCCAATAGACACATCACATCTAAATGTCCGTTTAAAATCACTTATCATCTCCCTAAGCTTAAGCTTTGGCTTGTTTGCAATCTCAGTCATGTAATGTCTCCCAATCCATTCAGGAGACACAATTGAAGCAAACGTGAATGACCTAGAGCATTTGTGGATCCTAGTCATAGTTTTGATTTGTAATGACCTTTCCTTGTACATCCAAGCAGCATGCAATCTGAAAGGGCATTGGTTATCTTCATTTCTTTTCCCACATTTTGCAACAATTCTAACACTATCACACTTGGCGAAATATATTTGATACCCATGGGACACAACATAGTTTGCAACACAAAATTTAAGTTGCTCAGCGGATTCAAATATATCGCCAAGCTTTGGTTCCATATTGTCCCGTTTGATGTTGGGATCATGAACCCTATACTTAGGTTGTACTTCTTCCTCATCATCTTTATCACTTTCCCAGTCATTTTCATGATATACTCGTGCTCTCATTTCATCAGACATACTTGCATTACGAAGATTAGCATCATTAAGTAATACATTCAAGAAATTATCCTTACACTTATCTAGTGTGCTCACGAACTCATGCTCTGGTTCATGGTCCATGTAAATACCATGTAGTTCAAAGTCCATCTCATTCAACCCAGCAAAAGGTTCGTTCAAAGCAGCAAATGGATCGTTCCATTCTTCCTCTGATGAAGCCATCTTTACTCCTACATAAAATCAATGTTACATAACGTCATTTTAACTAAGAGATCAAAGGAAAAAAAGAAAATTTAGTCCAAAACTGTAAATACCTAACCTGTGATGATCATCTTCTTTACTTGACTTACACTATCAACACTGATTATCGTTTTCTTATTTACTCGAGCTTCTGATAACAATGAAACCCTAAAAAGCTTTGAAAATGCAGAGAAATATGGGCGACAATGATGATTTTTGTGGAGAAATAGAGAAGACGTACGTTTTGGTGTAAATGTGATGGGTATTTGTGTTCTCGATGTCTAACGGACAAGATAACAGGAGTAAATGAGAGGTGTGTCACCGGATGTTATGGGATGACCTGCTAAATGGCGTTTTTGACAAAAAGAGCCCAAATGTTGGGCATTAACGCACCAAAATTCGTCGCGGGGACTAAACCGAACAAATTTTGAAAAAATAGGGACTTTTAAGTCAAAAGCCCAAAATTATATGAAAACCCCATCACAACCCGTATAATAAACAGGTTGACGAGTTAAAACTCAACTCAAACGTGTTTATCTTCATTTTAGGCTCATGTTGTGTCGATAATTGCCACTCTGACACATGACCATTTACCAAAAAAATGGAGGGTTTTGATTTTGAATGCTAGGCATGAATGAATTTTATTTTAGATGAAATGCTATAAATAACTATTTTTATTTTATGGTTTACCGAAAAACATATACAATGTAAACTTAGTTTTCAAGAAACATAAAAACTAGACGAAAAAACATATACTAATTGAATGGTTGAAGTATTTCATTTTTTAGATAATTAGATAGAATGAAACTTTAGTACTAATAAATGACATTGTCTCTTTAATTATCAAACAAATTTATTAGTATTCTTTTATTTTGGATGAAAATATCATAAATGAAAGTTTGGTGGCCTAATTTCAATGTCTTTATTGTTGGAGGGATTATTATGAAACACTGTAAACCTCTTGAATCGTAAAAGTTAGAACTTCGAATGATACTCGGCCGCTGCTAAACAGTCACTGGGAGATGCTAAGCAAACTCTATTTCAATCGCCGCTTTGAATGATACTCGGCCGCTGCTAAACAGTCACTGGGAGATGCTAAGCAAACTCTATTTCAATCGCCGCTTCTGTACTGCAATTCAATCACCGCGTCCATGGTTGTTCGTTGGCCTGGGCAATCCAGGGGACAAATTTAAAGGAACAAGACACAATGTACGTTATCTCTGAAAACCCTAATTGTTTTTCCTTTGCTTTGTAACACCTATCAACACCAATTCAAATTCAAACAAGGACATCACCGTTCGAATTTGGAGAAAAAACGTCCCTAAATTAACCCCATCACAATTGAACCTCAGTATGCTGGATTTTTCGTCCTAATATGTTGCATCTTTGCGAAATTAGGTCGGGTTTAACATGATTGATACTTTCGCGGAGTCGCAAGGGATCGATATGGATACAGTTTTCTGTAAAGCGATTTTCGGAAAAGGCTTGTCAGCTCCTCTCAATTTATAATTTTGTTTGTTGTTTCTTTAGAAATTATCATATGATTTGGGTGTAATCGTGCATAGCTAACGGGGAATACGTTTAATTTGGGGGTATGACGTATCAGGCATTGTAGATGGTGTTCCTGTTTTACTCGCAAAGCCTCAAACATATATGAATTTGAGTGGTGAATCGGTGAGTTCTTGATTAGGATTGAAAGTAATTACTTCTTATTTGTTTCGGCGTTGATACGTTTTCTTAACTGCAGAGTGGCCCACTTGCTGCCTATTACAAATTACCTCTAAATCGAGTCCTGGTGGTATGATCTGAAATCTCCATCATAACTTGAACATCATTCTTCTTCCTTCTTTTGACCTTTTTTGTTTTCATGTAACTGTTTTGCTTCTTGCTGCTGTAGTTCCATGATGACATGGATTTACCATGTGGGGTTCTTCGGCTTCAACCCAAGGGAAGCCATGGGAGCCATAATGGGTATCAAAAAATATGAACTTTTCTTTCTCTTAATGCAATATCATTATTTATCTTGATTCTTCATTATAAAATCAAAGGCTTAATAAGATATGCAAATTGGAATTCACCATGTTTGAATTTCTTTGTGTCAGGATGAAGAGTGTGATTCATCATTTCCGTGGGAATCGTGAGTTTGCACGTTTAAGGATCGGTATTTATCATTCATTAAATTCTTTTAGTAAAAGTTTTAGGGTGCGTTTAGTTGCGGAAAAATGAACCGTTTTCCGGAAAATTTTTCCAAGAAAAATGAGAATTTTGAAAATGCGTTTGGTTCGTCTATTTTTCTAAATTTTTCACGGAAAATGAAAATTTTCCGTTTTCTAAAATTACAAAGAAGTTGGAAATTTTTGGAAAACCGATAATCATTGTTTTCCACATTTTTCTAATTCCAATTTTTTTTTAAAATATAAACGCACACCCACTCCCACCCCACCCACCTCTACCTACCACCGCCTTAACACCCCAAACCCACCACACTCCAACCTACCCACACCCACACACACACACACACCCACAAACAAACACACATACACCCCCACAAACTCACACCCACACCCACCCCCCCACACACACACACCCAACACCACTACTACAATCACCATGACCATCAACATCACCACCACCACTACCCCATCACCAGCACCACTACCACCACCGCCGCCATCACTACCACTTCCACAATTGCCGCCGCCACCACCACCGCCACCCCGCTGCCACCGCCGCCACCACCACCATCGTCGCCATCATCGACACCACCACTGTCCCCCGCCGCTGCCCCCACCACCGCCACCGCCCCCATGCCCACCCTACCACCACTATCGTTTTCTAAAAATAAAAACCGATAGAAAAATACACATCTAAACACGTTTTCTAATTTTCTAAGACGGAAAATGAAAAATGAATAAGTTTTAACTAAACGCGTTTTCTAAATTTTCCAATGAAAAATGAAAACAGAAAACGAAAATTGAAAAGGGAAAACGAAAAATGGAAAATGAAAACTGTTTTTCCGTAACTAAACGCAACCTTAGTTTCCTAGAATCATATTTTCCAATTTCTTGATTTCCATTTTTAACCTTTTCTGAATATATAGGCATAGGAAAGCCTCCTGGTCAAATGGATCCTAAAGCCTTCTTGCTTCAGAAATTCAATGCAACAGCTCAAGAACGAGTAACATTTTATTCATTGAACACCATTTACTTCAATTAAACACATTTTACCTAAAATTTCAAATTTTTTTTGTTGGGTTTTGCAAGATTGATGTTGGTTTGAAAGAGGGAGTTGTTGCATTAAAAGAACTTGTGTCGAAGGGTGTGGAAGAGAGTGCTAGAAGCTTCAACACAGACCAAAAATACAAACACATCAAGATTTCTGTAAACTGATATGGTGTCTGTCTCTGTTTGGGAACTTCTCAATTTAGCCCATTACTTGAAATAGAATAAGATTTTTATAGGAAACAAAATTAAAACTATGGATCATTAGGGTAAAACATTTATGTAGTTTTATTACAACAATTCAATACTTGTACGCCACATTTTGATTCATCACTAAATACATATTTTGGGTGAAGATTTTGAAGTAATCTTTTTATTCGTATTCCTGAAAAAAAAAAATGGGAAAGATGGTGGAGATAGGGATGAAGAAAGGGCCATGGACGCCTGAAGAAGATGAGATTTTGTCAAGTTATATTAAGAGAGAAGGAGGAGGGAGGTGGCGGACACTGCCCAAGAAGGCGGGGCTCCGGCGGTGTGGGAAGAGCTGCCGCCTCCGGTGGATGAATTACCTCCGTCCATCTGTCAAACGAGGCGGCATCTCACCGGAGGAAGAAGACCTCATCCTCCGCCTCCACCGCCTTCTTGGAAACCGGTAATATAATCTTGTTTTGTTTTTTTTTTTTTTAAAAAAAAAAATAAAGTTGTGTTGATGGTTTTATGGGATTTGATGATAATTGTCAAATGATATGATTATAAGGTGGGCTTTGATAGCGGGAAGAATTCCGGGGAGAACAGATAATGAGATAAAGAACTATTGGAACACGAAGCTTAGTAAGAAGTTGATTAGTCAAGGGATTGATCCAAGAACTCATAAACCATTATCATCTTCTTCTTCAAACCCTAATTCTCTGAATTTTGTTCGTTTATCTTGTTCAATGGAACAACCGGAAGTGGGTTTGCCAAATCCCAGTGAAATCATCTCAAACCCTAATTCCAACAAAGATGAAAATAAAGAAGATGATATTCTTAGCTACTCTGCTGATGATGCTTTCTTGGATTCGTTAATAAATGAAGAAATGTGACCATGATGATGGTTAAGAATATCAAGAACAGTTCTTGTCCCATTGTGCTTCACCTCTTTGGATGAGGAAAAATATATATCTTTTTTTTTTTTTTTCAATTGATATTAGTCTCTTTGGAAATCCAATGTATGTCGTTCTTTCTTTGCAAAACAATTTTTTTTTTAAGATTCTAGCAGGGCCGGTCCTTAAAAAATAAATATTGTCAAAGGCACAAGACGAAAAAAAAGGCTTTTATCTTTATTATAATTTTTTTTATCTTAAATAAAAATATATAATAAAAAAAATTGGACCTTGTGCAGCTTTCCACTTTGCCAGGGTATAATTTTATTACAATTACAACCAATTTGGATTTATAACAACATGAATCTACAATATAAGTCGAAATGATATTGTATATATTTTCTTTGGGACGATTGAAATTACATAAATATACTGAAAAACAATTTGATCAATAATATTTAGGGTAAATGTCACTGTAGCCTACAATGTTTTTGGTTTTAGTCAATTCGGTCCCTTAACTTAATTTCTTGTTTTTTAAGGGATTAAAGTCTATAGCAACCTGTCTATTTAGCCATCATATCCTATTGTAGCCGGTTTCACATGCCATGTCAATTAAAATTGCCAAAATACTGAAATTTTAGGGCTAAATATATAACGTGTGTTATTATCTTCCCCAAATTTCCTTGTGAATAGAATGTAAGCAGCACGCTTGAATCAACTCATAACCAAAAATGAAGTTTTCGATCTTCAACTCATTTCAATAATCAAAACCAGAAACAAAACAAAAGTCGTCACCCAGCTCCGCCTTGACGCCGTCGCTCCTCTGTTTGTTGACCAGGTTCCGGTGTATTCCAATATCTTGAATCCCCTTTTCAAAACCCAATCCCTGAAATTCCTCGATATCTCCATGAATTCGTTGGTAGGTGAGATCCCTGAAGATGTGTTTGGTAACCTCACCGGACTTGTTCATCTTGATATAATGCATAACAGCTTCAATGACTCCATTCCCGACCAACTTTTCCGATTAACAAAGTTACGTTATTTGGATATGAGCATGAATTCGCTTGAAGATGGACTAGGCTTCAGACTTGACAACATTAAAGGTGAGTGTGAATCGTTTCCAGGGTATGATTGTTTAATCGCTTTTCAAACTTGAATCTCTTCGTATTCTCGATCTAAGCAATAACAATCTCACCGGTGGTTTAAGTTCTGAAGTTGGAAACCTTTGAGATCTTGAATCCTTAACCAGTCGATTGAATATTACCACTTCGACTAACATTTTTTTCTTTTACTTCCGATCCACACTTCAATCTGCAATTGATTTCACCGACTTCACTTCGATTCTATTTAACCAAAAGAACTCCAAGTTTGACTTTTCAATTCTATGATTTGACCATTCTTTGGTAACTCACTAACCATTCATCTAAACTTCGATATCGCCACACATAAAACTTCGATCTTGAACTTGTGATTATCGAAACGATTTCAGTCCATATTACTACCGAAACATCAATAAACACCAATTTTGAATTTTACATTGACTGTTCTTCAATTGTTCGATAACCAACTCAATGACGCATCAGAACCAATTTGACTATTTCGATACTCGACACGTCAAGTGCTTTCGATAATTTTGATTTTCAAAGTAAGTCCCATAAACACCAAAATTCATCTCCATCTTCAACTGTTCTAAGTGACGTTGATTTTACTAAGTGAGTCCATGTTGGTGATGATTTGGCAATTTTAGTTGACGTGGCATGTGAAACCGGCTACAATCGATTAGGATGGCAAAATAGACAGGTTGTTATGAACTTTAATCCCTTAAAAAGCAAGAAATTAAGTTAAGGGACTGAATCGACTAAAACCCAAAACATTGTAGGGCTACAGTGACATTTACCCTAATATTTATTCCATACATTTGCCCACATCTCACATTTTATCTTTCTTTTTACAATTTTGGACTAACCTTTTTAATTTTTATAACAAGTTTGGTCTTTTATTTTTATTTATGGTCCCATGTTTTTTTTTTCTTTTACAGTTTTGGCCAAGATTTTTAATATTAGTTATGAATTTGGTCCCTTACTTTTCCTTTATGGTCTTTACTTTTTCTTTTTGCATTTTCAGCCCTTATTTTTAATGTTTAGGGATAATGACTTGAAATGGTAATCAACTTTGAGTTTTGTACACGTTTAGTCACCGAATTTTTTTTGTGTTTGATTTACCCGTGAATCTTTTGAGATCGTTCACAAAGTACCAATATGACTGGTAATAGTGGGTTTTATCGGTTTTCGGCCAAACATGAGTTTTTCAGGTAAATATGATTTTTCTGATCATCTTCTTTGGCCAAATTCGATTTTCCGGTGAAACCCCTTTCCGACGATTATCTTCTCTCTCTTTCTTTTCTTTTTCAACGATCTGATGAACATAATAAACAATGAACCTTTTTCTAGAAATCATAAAATATTTTTTCTAGAAATGTTAAAAACCTAAAATCAAATGAACACAAGAATCATATGAACTCAAACAGAAGAACCCTATGAACTCTAACTAAAAAACTTGACAAACTTGCAAATCCTTTAATTGAAAAGACGAAACCCTAACTCAAACATCAAGAAACCCTAACCGAATCTTGAAAACCGTTTCACAAACCCTAATTCGAACATCAAGAAACCCTAAACGATTTCAAAAACCCATTCAAATATGGAGATTTCTAATTTCTGTAGGGCAATGATGTGTTTGTTGGATGTGTTTCAAATGATAAATAGAGAAGATAGAGAAAGAAACCCATGTTTGAGTTCTTGAGGTCTTCATAAAACTGCAAATTTTGGGTTTAAGTTCTTGAGTTCTTTTATCGAAATCTAGAGCAAATCAAACAAAATCACACTATAAGTACTTTCTAATTGGAAAAAAATAGAGTTAGAAACCGATCGATGCAAATTCCAAACCATAATGACCATTCATAGTTTACTAAAGTTATAGACCGCTATTGTAATTTACTCTTGTTCCTTTTACGTATACAAAGAAAATGTTAATGTCTAAAACACAATGTGGGAGGACTTATGTTATGCATTTGATTTTGGCTAAATGCCTAAAAAGTCTTTAAATTTGGTAGAAATATTAGATTTTTACCTTTTTGCATATTTTCTAGTTTATTAAAGCATGAGGTTTACAACTTTTTTTTATCCCTTCATGTAGGTTTACTCGGTAAAGTAAACATTTATACCGAACTTAAGATTTTAATGAAACCAAAAAAAGAAGAACATCTAACATATCTTACATTTCGTCAAACTTAAAGAGTGAACTTAAGATTTTAGATGGTATTTGAGATTTCATTTTGAAGTTAAAAATGACTTTTACCAAAAAAGACTTATTGACTTATGAAGGTGGGAAATCTTTTTTTTTAAATATTTGGTTTAGCTTTTTAGTGACAAAAATTAATAAATCAATAAGTTAAAAAGTGTTAGGTTTAAAATTGTCTTTTGTTTGTTTTTTTTATCCTAATAAGTTATAAGTCATTCAAAAGTCATAATTTTGAAAACTCATTTTGAAAGGGTAAATAAAAAGGAGTTTTAAAAGTATTTATTAGATATCCAAACATTTTTTTTAATTTATTGGCATTTCAAGGAGTTAATAAATCAATAAGGCTATCTGGTATTGGAAGCAATTCTAGCGTGGGTTTCATACGTGTCACACCAACCCACCGGTGAACACCGCCCTAGAGGTTGGTGGGTTGGGTGTGGAGTGGGTTGCAGTTGTGGTGAAGACATGAAGACATCCAATGGGAAGACGTGAGTTTCAATTTTCTCTCTTCTTCTCTCTCCTCTTTTTTTCCCATTCACTACCAACCCACCGTTGAATTGGCTGTGGAATGCTAAAATACCTACGTGACATTGAATTGGTTGGTGGTTTGGCTATGACCACTCCCTACAGCCTAAGAAATTTTTAGACGACCAAACACTTTACTAAGGCTGAACGGAGTGGGTGTGTTAAGGCCCGTCGCTAACCTCGCTAAGACAAGAGAACACCGCCCCTTAGGCTCGCTATGCTCCCGTCGTTAAGGCTTTGGCGAGATGAGAGAGAAAGAAAAGGGAGAAGGTGATTGGATTCTTCATCTTGATCTTAACCTCCAATTTTTTCTTCTCTATTTCTTCCTCTTTTGCCTTAAAAGTTGAGAGAGCAGATTTAAATTCTTCATCTTGACATTGGACCAGCTTGCATCAGTGTTTGAAGTTGCTCACTAGATTGCTTCTGTGGTTGAGTTTGAGTAGACATTTCTTTTTCAGGTTCTTTCTCGTTCTTCTTCTTCAATCAGAAAAAGCAAAAACCCTCCTTCTTCCTCTGATTCCTCTCTTAATTTCTCTAATTTTTTCTTGTTTTTGCTTTTCCCCCCTTTAATTTTCCAATTTCATCTTTTTCCTGTGATGATTTGAGAAAAACAGGCCTTGATGCTTGAAGTTATGAGAAAGAAACGAAAGAGAAAGAAAAAGAAAAGGAAAGCACCAAGTTTGCTTTCAAGTTCCTCTGGACACTCCAAAAAAAGGCCTTCTTATCCATCCACAAGGCCTCGTTTGCAACACCAAATCACTTTTTAATGCTAGTTTATTTAGATGATTGTTTAATTTAGGATTTTTTTTAAAGAACCAACAAATCTTAAAGAAAAAAAAATCACATGTTAAGCCATTTCATCGGTTGGATATGATGTTTGGGAAATGAGGGCCTTACTTGAAATTCCAAGGTTTCAATGTTATTTTTCAAATTTGAAAAAAAAATCAAAATAAATAAATAAATAAAATGTTAGGAGTATTACCATTCTTTATGAAATGTTTAAAATTAGATGCCAAGACAAAAAAATAACGTGGCATTCAAAAAAATGATATGGCAAGATGCTAGAAGTGCTACCACTCCCTCTACCCTAATAAAGCAAGAAAAGAAGAAAAAAAGAACATCTAACGTTAAAGAAAAAAAGGTTGCAAAGAGATTTTAATTAGCAAAAAATACGCAAAAAATAAGGGTTTTAACTTTTACGGCCTTTTGCTTCGTCATCGCGTTCATTTCTAGCCCCCATGGTCTATTCTTCTCCATCTTCCATCACTGTCCCGCGATGTCTTCGTCGTTCTCGCCGGTAGTCCTTCTCGATCATCTATATTCTCTTCATTGTTCTTTCAGTCTCGTTTTTTCTTCTCCATTATTTGTTCTCCCATCTCGGTTGAATGATGTTTCTCTGTTTATTTATTTATTTAAATTTTGAGTTTTGACGTTGAAGGGTGCGTTTTTGTTTCAATTGACATTTTTTTAATTGATGCCATAAATTAGAGTTGTTTTTTGGGTTTATTCTATAAAATCCGTTTAGGATATTAAATCTGCTTAGGATCGGAAGAATTGTGTTAACTAGACATAAGCATAAGTTGTTTAATAACTGAAGGGGAATATGAAAGGCATGAACCCTTGTTAAATTGGGGTTTAATTCAATGTTTGTGAATGTATAACAACTCGTTTGCATTATGATTTGTTGTTTGGGGAAACGATCCTTTGAAAAAGGTTTTGCTCTATCTTTAGGGAAAGAATTCTTATGATATTTCCTAATTATGTTGACAAATGGAAGATTACACTGCAAGTTTGCTTTAACAAAGGTCTTCTACAGCATCCTGTGCTCATCGTCCACAAGACCAGGACAGTTATGGTAGTTTTTGACTAACATATTTAAGTCTCATGGTCGTATGTATCAAAGTGATTTTTAGTCTTCCAAGATCACCTTCTAACTGTCTGCCAAAAGGTTAGAGTAGCATGGAAATAAAATATCCTCCCAGTATAGAGAATAAATTTCAGGAAAATCAGATCAGTCGATTCCTTGCAATTTTCCATTACATATGTCTGAAAAGAAAGACACAAACATTAGCACTTCTACCCCACGTTTCCTACACTTGTGGAAACCCATATAACTACTTTACTACTCTGACAACTTCAAACAAATAAAACTAAAATAGAAAACAACAAAAATGCTGTGAAATAAAAACGTGAACTTCATGCAGTCAAATATTTGGATACTCTAACTGGGCCAGGTTAATCCATCTTTGAATCGGGTCTGCAGATGTGGCATTATGGGTCTGGACCGGTGCCTTCCTATCACAATAGTTCTCAAACAAACAACAATTTGCTATTCTACGTCACTTTTAGATAGAAGGGTAAAATGGTCATTTTCTCTCATTCAAATGGTTCATTCAATCCAAAATACAAAAAATAAATAGCCTTAGGGGGTGTTTGGGTTATCTTTTGAGAGGCCAAAAGTCCTTTTAGGAAAAGTTGCAAAAAGTCAGGTTTTCCTGACTTTTCCAAAAAGTTCATTTTCCTTATATCCAAAATCCAAAACTAGCTTTTAAAAGTGTTTTTACCACTCAGCACTAAAGCCCTTAGGGGCTGATTCTTTATGACTTAATAGGCTTAATAAATAAAGAATTTGATCTGGACAGCTAGCTATATATGATGGTTGTTTCTTTTTGACATAACATGTTAACCCAAAAAACGCTTAATGTTTCCAGGCACTAACCCATTACCTATTTACCATTTGTCCTTTTTCCTGAATGTTTAGTGTGTTTTTTTGGGATTTGTAAGACATAAAATGAGGACAAAAAGATATCACAAGATGAAAAAAGATATGTATAGGAAAAATACAAATTTCCAAGAGCTGAAAGTCTTTGAAGCTAGCTATCCATTTCAATTGTTCTTTTATAATTTGTGTTATAGTTTGAATGGTTCTGTTTAAAGGAAACTAAGGCTTTTATGCCCCACACAGTGTTTGATTTGGGGCAGTTTGTTTCAATTCTTCTTTTCTTAATTTGTCTTATAGTTTGGTTCTATTTCAAAGGAAAATACAGATTTTATGCTCCACATGAATCACAACTCATAAGGTGTGTGTAAAAGCAAGAAAGATAATTCTTGTGAAAAATGGTAGGAATTGAACATTTTTTTTATATATTGATATCTTTTTTTAGAGCATAAAAATAATAAATTTCAGTATATATATATATATATATATATACTTAATGGTACCTTTACCTTGGCAACAATAATCTTAATGGAACCATTCCTCCAGGGTTCCTTGACTGAATTAAGAGAGCTTGACCTTTCATCTAATTCTCTTTATGGAGCCATTCCTCCAGAGTTCGGAAACCTCACCAACTTGCAAGTGCTTTTCCTTTCAAATGTTGGAAGGTGTAGAATTGAGAACCTCGAGTGGTTATCTCCTCTATCTCATCTGGAGGTACTTGCAATGGATGGGATTTCATTGGCCAAAACAAATCATTGGGTAGATGTAATTCTGAGTCTCCGGAAACTATATTGGTTAAGTTTAAAGGGGTGTGAGCTGTCACAGGTCATGTATCCATTTTCTTCATTTCTCAATTCTTCTTCCTCATCTATTGAAGTCCTTTCTCTCCAAAACAACAGTCTCAACTCATCCATGTATCGTTGGTTGTTCCCATTCACCAGCAATAATCTCCTTTCTCTTGGTCTTTCTGACAACATGTTAGATGGGATACCCAAATATCTTGGAAACCTCTGTAGTCTGGAAACTTTATCCTTCTACAACAACTCTGCTGCTGTCAAATTTCCTGATTTTCTCAACAACTTGTCTAGATGCACATCGCTTTCATTAAAATCCTTGTATGCTTCCAACAACCAATTTACAGGGTCATTGCCTGATGAGATCCAAAAGTTTACATCCCTAACAGGTCTGTCCCTCTCTGAGAATCAGTTAAAAGGAACTATAAGTAAGAAACTGTGGGAACTGCCCAACCTTAACTCTCTTGATCTTTCCGAAAACTCACTCCAAGGATTTCCTTCCTCAGATTATATGTCAAACCTTCCTGATATAGAATATATTGATCTGAGCTCTTGCAAGCTAGGGCCTCGCTTCCCCAAATGGATTCAAAATTTGAAAAATCTTACCAGTATTGAAATTGCAAATACTGGTATTTCAGATACAATTCCTCTTAAGTTTTGGGACTCGTGGCCTTCCCAGTTAACATTGTTGAATCTTTCTTCCAACAACATAAGCGGGAAAGTACCAGATCTCTCATCAAATTTTGACAACAATTCAGTGATAGATTTAAGCTCCAACAACTTTGATGGTCCAATAACTAATGTCTCTTCCACTGTGGCATTACTAAATCTTTCCAGAAACAAATTCTCTGGAGGAATCTCCTTTTTATGTGAGGTTGTCCATGGCTTTTTAGTTATTCTTGACCTCTCCCATAACTCTCTAAGTGGACAAATTCCAGACTGTTTGTGGCATTTCAAAGAACTACAAGTTCTTAATTTAGAACACAATAATCTGTCAGGAAGGCTTCCTGCCTTTGTTGGATCTATGATTAAGCTCGAGGCATTGGATTTATACAAGAATGATTTATCCGAAGAATTTCCTGTCTGTTAAGAATTGCACGAGCTTAAAGTCATTGAATTTGGGGGCCAACAAGTTTTCTGGAAACTTGCCTGTTTGGATTGGGGAAAGCTTATCTGGGTTGTATGTTCTTATTTTAAGATCAAACAACTTCTCTGGAAGCATCCCTTTACAATTATGCCAATTAGCAAGTCTTCAAATTCTAGACTTGTCCATGAACCATTTCCATGGGACCATCCCTTCATGTTTGAGTAATCTTACGATCATGGTGCAACAAGGATTCTCTCAAGTTCAGAATTCATCAGAAGTAATATGAAGTTGTTGAGGAGCATCGACCTGTCAAGCAACAACTTAACAGGGGAAATCCCATATCAGATCACCAATCTTGATCAACTGATTGCACTGAACTTGTCAAAGAACTCTCTTCTTGGAAAGATTCCATGGAACATCAGTCAGATGAAAAATCTTTTAACTTTGGATTTATCTAGAAACAAGTTTTCAGGAGAAATACCATTAAGCATGTCTCAAATGACTGGCTAAATTACCTAGATGTCTCAGATAATAGCTTGTCAGGGAGAATCCCATCTAGCACACAACTTCAGTCCTTTGATCCTTCAAGATACGAAGGGAACTTAGGGCTTTGTGGACCTCCCCTTACCAAAAAATGTCATGGAGATGAAGAATCGAGAATACAACACATCATTGGTGAAAGTGAGGGTGAAGGTATAGACGAACTTGATGTATGGTTCTATATTGGTGGGGCCATTGGTTTCACTATTGGATTTTGGATAGCATGTGGTGCTTTACTCCTCAACCGTCGTGGAAGATATGCATTTTTTATATTTCTTGATAGCTTCAAAGATTGGGTTTATGTGAAGGTTGTGGTGTTCATTGCAAATTTGCAAAAAAGAACATAGATAGTCATGTAAAACCATGTTTCATTTTTGTATTGGGCATGGGTTTCTAAGTCCCATTTATTTATATAAAATTGTCACCAACACCACGGGTGGCCATTTTCCAGTGTTGTGTGAAATAAGTCATCATGAAGAGTTTATATTTTCTATTTATATCTAAGAAAGATTTTTTTTTTAAATAATAACCATTAAGGGTATAATAAATTAAAAAGAGAAAATGACTTATGAGGGTAACTATTTATCATATTTGTTCATATTTGGTTACTTTTTGTATACGTTTGATCATTAAAAATACCATTATGACCGGTAATTTCCAACTGGCTAAGTCCAATGTCTGTTTTGCAGAGGGCATAATTTTTAAACTTTCTATTAGGTATGGACCATTTTTCTAATTTTTTAACCATTTTCTGTAGAAAACATTATACAATTATACTCATGGACTTTAATAATCATGTTTCTATTTTGAAAACTCAATCCAGAAGCATGGCAAACCAGTTAAAGTATTTCTAATGGCAATGTACTTTGAAAAATCTATCCAAATGTAAAAATATTTCAAAATACAATGTTTTATTAAAAAAAATTAGTTTTTTTCCCCTAAAACACATACCGCTGAACACTACCCATGTGTGTACTTTCATCTTCTTATATTGCTAGTAATGTCCCTTGTTAAGTAATTGTTTTCGTTAGCTTTACTTATTGATTACATATCAACCACTATATTTGTCATACCCCTGAACCGAAGAAAACGGCAGAAACGTCCGGGGGTTTAGTGACTTCGTCTTGGAATATCATCACAGTGTATATAATTGAAACAAGACAACATCATCATCACACTTACAATAATACATCAATAGTGGGTTTACATCATTGTAATTGTTTATAGAAGTTACAACTTAAAAACATAAAGTGTACGATAGCAAATAAATGCAACAAAAATCCACATATTCTTGAAGTCCACCTGCTTAACGATTCCCTAAGAATACAAATTATTTTGAAAACGTCAACATATATAATGTCACACCCCGAAACCGTTGGCGGAAACATTCCGGGGCGGAGGACGTCATGTATAGCATCACAACCAATGAATAACAGCAATCATAGCAACACAACCATTACAGTGAATATTTGAAGAAAAACGTTTACATATGTTTGAAACTCAGTTTTGAATTACATCCGATTGTTTTGCAAAATAAAACTTAAAAACTCTAAATGCTTCGGTTCCTCGAAAATCCAGCAAGTACCTGTCTACTGATTTCCTGAGAATACAAGCAGTTTGAAAAATATCAGCATAAAGCTGGTGAGTTCATAAGCAGTAATTTGTAGTGAAAACTTGTTGATGAGCGAGTCTAAATGATTTGTGTAGTCTCAAGAAAATCCGATATTTTCTTTAGTGAAAAACGTAGTATTATCGATTTCGTATACAACCATAAATGTTCGTTTCTGAAAAATCGTAGTGATATGCAAAATACTACTTCATGTGACTAGCTAAAGCTAATCATGAAGTATATGTATTTAAATGTAAAACCGTAGCATGAATGATTCGGTTTTGAAAACCCTGGCTCGACCAGTATGTATAGTGTTTTTAGTTCTATTTGGTATAAATAAAACTACTGAAGAAAACCAGGTTGGTAAACTATCGGTGATTTATACATAATGTGAGTCGTATAACCATGCTTGATATGACTAGTGACCTTTCCAACGTTCTTCAGGCGTTGATGTTAAATGACATTTGTACATCTCAGGCGTGCCCGCCAAACTGTAGTTAGCAGTCCAGATGTGGGATTGTCAGTCCCGAATAGATCTATTCACAAACCTCACGCTCTCCCTCCAGGAGACTCTGGTTATACAGTGGTATGATTTATCCCTGTACACCTAAGGGTACAATAGTGAAGTAGCGCCTCACAGTATCGTACAATCTAGTTTACAAGTAATGCAGTAGCGTTCTACCGTAGTGAAAATCCGAGTGTATACCGCGTATAGTGATAAATTACAGTTATGAAAATCATGATAAAACAATGATATAACCTGTAAACGGTTTCTGTTCCAGCGCATATGTTTAGTAGAGAAAGTTTCCATGCTTGATAAGTTTTTAGAGAAGTCCCAAACTATACCGATTATAGTTTGCATGTATAACGTAGCGAATAGCGTATCCGTAAAAACTATGCAATTTTCGTGAAAACGTCCCTTATGCTCGACATAGTACAAAAGGGAAATAAAGTATGAAATTTGCATAAGTTTTATGTGTATGTCTGAAAACATTTATGTTTAACTTGAAAGAAAACATTTATGTTTAGCTTGTATTCCCCCCCTGAAAACCTTAAAAATGCGGAAAAATGTAGGGGTATGAACTCACAGTTGTCGTGTGGAGTTGCTGACTGAAAAGAAGGTTCCCGAGTTGTTGCACGCGACACTTAACGGAATCCTATTAACAAATAAATACGTATGCATCTAAATTAGCGATTTCGTTAGATAAAGTGTCGGAAAACACTTGAATTTAGTTGGGGAATGTTACCGAAACTTGCTTGAATCGAAGGAATGAGTTTACTGCCTTAGAATACGAGTTTACGGTTTCTGAGGATGGGTTTACGGTATTTGAACACGAGTTTACGGCTTTTGAAGATAAGTTTACGGCCTTTGAAGATTGCCGAGTTTACGGCCGTAAACTCAAGAACTGAGTTTACGGTCTTTGAAGCCCGGACCGTAAACTCGGAAAACGAGGTTTGGATGATGCCTTCGATGCGAGGAGTGATTCCAGACGTTCCAAAGGGCTCCAAACGGTGTTTTTCGATGTTTCCCAGAGTTAAAACACGATTTTAAGAGTTTACGGTTGATGAATCTTAGAGAGAGGAGGAGAGAATGCGGCCAGAAACGTCCCAATGAAGTCGGAGGCGTCGTATTTATAGGGTGAAAGTGGGGTCCACTCGTCACTGACCGTAAACGGAGTTTACGGTCGTAAACGAGTTTACGGTCGTAATCCCATTTAGAACAAAATGTTGATTTTCGAGATTTTCAGGTTTCCGTGCGATTTTTGGTTCCGACTCGTAAATAATTTAATTAAGCATAACTAGATTATTTTATTAAACCAAAATTTGACGGAAGGTTAACGGATCTAAAATTTCATTAACGGAAATGCATAACAGAAAACGGAAAAAGTTTCGGGTTGTCACATCATCCCCCCGTTAGAGGGAATTTCGTCCCGAAATTTGAACCTAGAATACAGAATCATGGATTTGGAAAGAGATGCGGATACTTCTGCTTCATCTAGTCTTCGCGCTCCCAAGTGAATTCAGGTCCTCGCTTGGCATTCCAGCGAACCTTTACTATCGGGATGCGACTTTGTTTCGTTCGTTTGATCTCTCTGTCCATGATTTCGACCGGTTCTTCCACGAAGTTAAGGTTCTCGTTGATTTCAATCTCGTCGAGAGGAATCACAAGTGTCTCATCGGACAGACACTTCTTTAGGTTTGATACATGGAAAACAGGATGAATGTTGTTGAGTTCTCGCGGTAATTGAAGTTTTTATGCTTTCATGTCTTCCAACGTCTGAATTGTCCTCTCACTCTGTCCATCAGTCTGCGGATGATAAGCCGTGCTCATATCCAACTTAGTTCCAAGAGCCTTCTGTAAAGACTGCCAGAACCTCGATGCGAACCTGCTGTCTCGATCGAAGATAATGGATGCAGGTACACCATGAAGGCGAACTATCTCTTGGAGGTAGATCCGTGTGAGCCTCTCCATCTTGAAGTTTTCTTTGATTGGTAGGAAGTGGGCGGACTTCGTCAACCGATCGACAATTACCCAGATAGCATCGTGCCCACTCGGAGTTCTGGGTAACTTGGTGATAAAATCCATGGTTATCCTTTCCCACTTCCACTTAGGTATTTCTGGTTGTTGAAGTAGACCTGAGGGCTTCTGATATTCAACCTTCACTTTGGCACAAGTCAGGCACTTGCCCACGAAGGTAGCAATCTCTGCTTTCATGTTTGGCCACCAATATAGTCATTTGAGATCCAGATACATCTTATCCGAACCTGGGTGAACGGAGTATTTAGTCTTGTGAGCCTCATTCATGACAATCTCTCTGTAACCACCGAACTTTGGGGTCCAGATTCGGTTCAT